TGCTGTTGCTATTCCAGAGGACCTGGGTTCAAATCCCAGCATCCATGTCAGGCACTTCACAACTGCTTGTAACTTCAGTTTCAGGGGTTACAATGCCCTCTTCTAGCTTCCAAGGACAGCCTCCAACACATACACATATACATAAAAATTTTAAAATGTTAAAAAAAGAAAAATAAGGAGCTTTTGAAGAGTTTTATGTTTGAGATAATAAGCTCACATTTGTGTTTTTATTTAATTAATTGATTTATGTGTTTTTGTGTATCTGAGTGTATGTATGTACACCATATGTGTGTAGTGGCCAGAAGAGGTCAGAAGAAGGTGTTGGATCTTCTTGAATTGAGGTTCTGGATCCTCTGCAAAAGCAGTAAGCACTCTTAATTGCTGAGCCATCTCTCTAACCCATACTTGTTTTTTTAATTGTTGTTTTAGTATGTAGAATCATTTTGTGGGAGACAGAGCAGAGGCTTGGAATCTAGGTGGGTGATCAGGACAATAATTCTAGTTAGAGATCATAATAATCTGCATTAGGACAGCAACAATAGGAATGACAGAAGAATACAGCTGATAGTTAAAGATTTAGGATATAGAGCTGATCTTTTGAGTTTTGTACCATGTTTAACTGCCACCTATTCAAAAAATGGTCATTTTGAGCTATATAAGTATAGAAAGATGTTTAGCTTTGAACTGTCAGAGAGGGGCAGGCAAGGAATGAAAGAAAAGAATGAGGGTTTTTTATTGTTGCTCATTAAGTTCCGTGTACTTGTTTAAGTGGTATTGTGAAGAAAGGAGAGAAAGCAATAGGGTGAGAAAGTGAAGATACTTTAAAAAGAAGGGACAATTGAGAAAGTTGAAAAATGTGACCTAGATGTAAACACCGACTTTAGGATAGATAGCACTTCTGTTGTAATAGAGGAAAGGATGGGCAAAGGAGATAGAGTTGGTATTAGGAAGTCAAATTAGTTCTTGTCTGATTATTTCATTTGCTTTTTTTTCCAAGAAGGAAGTAAATCATTTGCATGGAGAGAAGGGAGAGATCAAAGATTTTATGTTTACTGTGCATTGTGGGAAGGAAAGAGCTAAGTAGGAAATGGTGGGAGGATTATCAAGCAATATAATATACATATTTTATACAGTGAATTTATTTTGCCACCAGCCCAGTGGGTGGTTATTTTTCTCTAGCATACGCAGTAGTCTAGTGTTAGGTAGTCGGAGTGAGCTAGGGATAGGTTTGTGAATGTGATGAAAGGTAGTAGGGCAAGTGAAGAATGCTGGAATTTAAGCTAGATAGTAAATAGGTTGAAGTCAAGAATAGGTGGATTTGGCAGGGGTTTGGTGTCACAGGCCTGTAATCCCAGTGCTTGCCTATAATCTCATTATTCAGGAGGCTGAGGCATAAGGATTATGAGTTCAAGGTCAGCCTAAGCTACACAGTAAGACCCTGTCTGAAAACAAAGCATAACATTAAAAAAGAATACACTGAGTGTGATGTGATGGCACAGGCCTTTAATCCTGGTGCCTAGGAGGCAGAAACAGATCTTTGAGTTTCAGGCTAGCTAACACTACACAGTGAGACCTTATTTCAAACAACGACAACAAAACAAATAAAGAATGGGTGAAAAGTAGAAACAGCTAGGTTTTTGAGAGCAAAGAACAGGTATTATGAGAGCTGGATGGATATATTTATGGTCAAAGAAATGGTGCAGTTGCTGGGCTGTCTGGGGGATGGTCATGAGAGTAGCTGAAATGAGAGTGGAGGTGACCATCTGAAGATGACCCAATCAAAGAAGAGTGAACCTAGGAAGTTGGATCCCCATGTTAATACTGATACCATGTAGAATTTTGAAAAGACTTAGGGTGGAGAAAAACTTGTGAGCAGGTTCTTCGATGAAGTGTTGGGGAGAAGGGCAACTAGAAATAAAGAGGAGCAGGAAGTGGTATAGCTGCATGGTATGAAACTCAAAGAGCAATGAGTCATCATCTCACACAAGGCCTGATGTTAATGCCAGTTGTTAACTTGATGAAATCTAGAATCACCGGGAGTTGGGCCTTTGAGCATGCCTGTGGGAAATGATCTTGATTGTATTTTAATTGAGGTGGGAAGACCCACCCACTGTGAGTGGTACTTTTCTGAATTGTGTAAACAGAAAAGGAACTGAGCAGCAGAATTTTTTCTTCCTGACTGTGGACTCAGTGCCTGCTCCCTTGACTTTCCTACTGAGATGTACCTTTTGGATTGTGAACTATGAGCTAAAATAAACTCTGTCCTTAAGTTGCTTTTGATTTTGACATTCGATTATGGTAACAGGAAAAGAAACTAAGACACGGAGTAGAGATGATTTCAAATCCTCATTGGAGTGTTAAAAGGGTCATCTACTGAATTTGACTTGTCAATGGCTGGGATAATTCAAGGCTTCCATCTGATAGAACTCTTAACACAATGCTCCTTAGACTCAATGGTGAAGAACCAGGACATATTTTCCTTTATTTTCAGTCTATAATGGATTTTATATAAAAAAGAATACCTAGAAAAGTAATGTGAACAAAAAGCAATATAACAAGCCCTAGTTTTTCATTATTAGATTCAATGACTATTAAAACATCCTGCCAGGCAGTGCTAATGCACACCTTTAATCCCAGTACTCAGGAGGTAGAGGCTGGCAGATCTCTGTCAGTTTGAGGTCATCCTGGTGTACAGAGCTGTTTTCCAGGACAGCTAGGACTGTTACACAGAGAAACCCTGTCTCGAAAAACAAACAAGCAAATATCCTGCCAGATTGCTGAGAAGTGATACCTATTCTCATTTTCTGTGCTTAACATAGATCTGAAAGCAACAGTTCACAGATCAGTATTAGACTATGGATTATACCTTGAGTGGTGCTAGTATGGAGAAAATAGTTTCCTTGTAGAAAAACTGTATTTAGCTAAACTTGGAAAGTAAAGGAGGGTTCTTTTTGTATTGTTTTATTTTTAAATGGGTTTCATCTAGCCAAAGCTGGCCTCCTGATCACCCTGCTTCCATCTCTGAAGCTCTGAGATTACTGGTATCCAAACATGGGAGCTTATGGGGAGCATCCTTATTTAAACCACCATAGAATGGATGTACCACCAAGCCTGGTAAGAGTTTCTTGAAGGGGAAAAACAGCTAAAAGCTTTAGGCTAGTGAGGGGTGATAGCTGGATTTGGCAAAAAATAGTTATTCTATGCCAATCTCTGCTTTCATTGTGCTATGACCTTTATGTACATTATCTGCTTGACTCCTCTAACCTCTACAAAGTTTATGATGATGATGATCAGATTTCTTGACATACTGCAGGTTTATAGACAGAGTTATTGTTGGAAAGATGAAAGTAAGGGAGGGGCTTGATTTCAGGAAATTGATCATTATAATCTTGACTGAAACTATTTGAGTTCTACCATGTTTTTATGCACCTTGCTTTATGTGGTTGCTGAAAAATTTTTAAACATTTAGCCATATTTGAAGGATTCTTGTTACCTTCCTTCATGAGGGAAGGGTTTAATATGTGAAGTTCCTGCTTTATGTACACACTTACAAAATTAAATCTCTTTTAAACTTTAAAATATGAAACAACACATTGTCATTGTAGCAAGTACAAAATACAGTGAAGCTGCAAAATAGGGTTACTTAATAATCCTTCACTCAGTTTTTGTTGACTGTATAATATATTTCTAATAATTTTATTTAATAAAGTATCTCATAAAGTTCTAAGTTTAGGTTCTATGTTGAAATAGTTTGGAGCCGGGTGTGGTTGTGTACGTCTTTAATCCCAGCACTCAGAAGACAGAAGCAGATAAATCTCTGTGAGTTCAAAGCCAGCCTGATCTACAGAGTGAGTTCAAGGACAGGATGGTTATACAGAAACCCAGTCTTGAAAAAAAAAGAAAGAAATAGTATTTTGGATGTGTAAAGCAAAATAAAATGTTATTAAAATAAGACCGGTTTTTAATATTTTGAGACATGTTTTCCCTATATAGCCCAGGCTGGTCTAATACTTGGGGGTAGCCAGAAACACATGATAATCCTCCTGTTTCTGCCTCTAGAATACTAGAATTGGAAACATGAACTAGAACATTGGCCTTTTTTTGCTTTTTAAAGTTGACTATTTGGAAACATTTAAAATTATTTGGTTTACATATTTCTGTTCATTCACACATATGGATGCTCTAGTTTCTTTCAGCTTTGGCCATTCTGAATCCTAATAAAGTTTTTGTTTACTTGATTTTCAAAACAAGGTTTTTCTGTGTAACAGCTCTGGCTGTCCTGGAGCTCACTTTGTAGACCAGGCTGGTCTGGAACTCACAGATATCTGCCTGCCTATGCTTCTTGAGTGCTGGGATTAAAGTAGTGTGCCATCACCACCCGACCCTAATGAAGTTTTTTTTTTTTTGGTTTTTCGAGACAGGGTTTCTCTGTGGCTTTGGAGGCTGTCCTGGAACTAGCTCTTGTAGACCAGGCTGGCCTCGAACTCACAGAGATCCGCCTGCCTCTGCCTCCCGAGTGCTGGGATTAAAGGCATGTGCCACCAACGCCCGGCCCCTAATGAAGTTTTAATGACACTTTGTCATCATTGTTTCAGACCAGTAGAATTTGCATTGATGAAAATGTTTTGTAATCTTCATAATATGTGGTTAATGAAATGTAGCTAATGTAATAGCTACATTTCATTACTAAGTTTTAAAAAAGTTATTTACTTTTTGTATGTGTGAGTGTTTTGCCCACATGTATGTATATCTGTATACCATGTGCCTGGTGCTGGTGGAGGCCAGAAGAGGGAATCAAATCCCCTGAAACTTGAGTTAGACCCAGGTATTTTGGAAGAGCAGCCAGTGCTCTTTACCACTGAGCCGTCTATCCAGCCCCCAATTGTACTTAATTTTAATTAATAAAAATGCAAATAGCCACATGTACTATACAGGACTCACTGTTCTAGAACTTTTAAAAGTAAAGATTTTATGAACCTTTACTACTTTTTCTTTTCCAGTTGTGTTGGTGTTGAAGAGGATAAAGCTGCTGATATCGACCTATACCATTGCCCCAACTGTGAAGTCTTACATGGGCCCTCCATTAGTAAGTAGATTTTAGGGTTTTCATCAGGAAGTGATTAAGGGGAGAAATAAGTCAAAGGTAGTTTTTGGAGAGCCTTTCTGCAAATTGCCTTTGCCTAAGTGCTTCAGATGTGTCTTCCTTTGAAACAGAAAAGCTTACGCAAGTGCAGCAGCCTCCAGCTATTGCCCTGAGATGGCAGAAGTGCATAGCTTTATCCCTTTTTAGCAACTGCCTAGAGGAAGCACACTCTTCTTCACCAGGAACTTTTCTGTGTGTAAGAGAGTCTCTTTAACTCTAGATACCCCCTGGTGTTTTAAGATTAGAAAATAAGAGTATTGAAAATACTATTGAGTATTGAGGAGTTTGTTCTTGGAATCTTAGCTCTTGGCCATTCTAACTTATGACCTGTTTTCTTTTTCTGGATTAGTGAAAAAACGCCGTGGATCTTCCAAAGGGCATGATACTCATAAGGGGAAACCAGTGAAGACAGGGAGCTCTATGTTTATCCGAGAACTCCGGAGTAGGACTTTTGACAGGTGAGGACTCATATTCCAAAGAAATGTTAAGCATGAGGGCTATGGGAAGATGAACATATTTTCCTTAAGTTTCTCCTCTGAATGTGCTTCCCTCTCATGTCTGAATATCTTCTAGGCTCTGCAAAGTCTCCTGGGTGGGAACTTCTGTTTTGGTCAGTTTCTAAGTAATAGTGGCCAGAGTTTCACTTTATGTTTAGAGTACATTATGGGCTACATAGAAAAATCTGCAGTACTTGGGAAGCAGCATTTGTCTTAGTGAATTTATAAGCATCTGAGTAATGTTAGAATTGGAAGAATTCTTTTTGTTTTTCCCTGTGTATACTAATTATACAAAGTAATGCATTTTGTTATGACATTTCCATATATGCTATAAAATGTACTTTGATCATAGGCAACTATTCTATGACCCTTTCCTATTCCCTCCCCTTTCCTCTTCCATATTCATAACAGTCTTCCATTTAATGTCTGAAAGATTTTTTAATGATCAGCAAATTTAATTCACTCATTATAGAGGAGAGAAAACTTTAAAACTAAAAAGAAATTCTGCTGTCAGGTATTTGTTTTTCAGTCAAAATTGTTTTCTTTTTTCTTTCAATTACCTGGTTTTATTAAAAATCAAGTTAAGTACTTTATGAACTGAACAAAAATAATGAGTTGGAAATTAATAAATTTTATGTGGTTTTTAAATTCAGTGTTTTCAGGTTTCTTGTACTTCAAGTGTTATTCGGAGTATTTTTCCAATTTATTGGTTGAAAAGTTTTTAACAGGTGTCAGTCTCCTTTCTTCTACCTATGCTAGCTAATTTCTTTTATATTCTTTCAAAAATAGTCTTTGTATCCACATATGTATATATGTTTGTTTGTCCTTTTTATTTTTGAAGCAAATGAAATCACTATATTTTATACATTACTTTTGTTTTTAAACCTAAAGTATATGTCTTTGAAATCAATACACAATAGCATGTACAGATATTCTTTATTCCCATTCATGGTCATTTAGTATTACGTTGAATAGATATAAATTTTATTTAACCAGTCTTCCATTGATAACTATTTAAATTGATTCCAGCATTTTGTTGTTATTAAGAAAACTTTATTTTTTCAGTCATGATTATTGAATCTAGACCTTTACTAGTGGACTATATTTGATGCCTCAGTGAATATCTTTGTACTTAAGTTTTTGAATATGTGGCATAGGGTTGTAGATTTAACTGTAAAAATGAAATTGTTAGGGCAAAAAGGATTTGCCTTAAGAATCTGTAAATATTACCAATTGTTTGTGTGAAGGTTTTACAATTTTATATACATTTTGTCAAGGCTCTGATTTTACTATATTCTGACCAATAATTTTTTTACTATTAAACTTTTTATCTTAATCAAAATTTAGAAAATCTTTTTATTTTAACTTTTAGTACTTTAATTATGAAAGAGGTTGATTTTTGTATATTTACAAGTCTTTTTCTTCTGGTTTTGGTTTTTTGGGACAGGGTTTCTCGATGTTGCCCTGACTGTAATGGAACTTGCTCTGTAAACCAGGCTGTCCTGGAACTCACAGAGATCTACCTGCCTCTGCCTCCTGAGTGCTGGGATTAAAGGTGCACACTACCACTGCCTGGCTATTTATAAGTCCTCTTTATTGAAATTTTTCATTTTTTCTAAGGCATTTACCATATTTTTATTGAGAAAAATTTTCATGCATCATATTCTTATGCTTTTTCCCTTCCCCCAACTCCTCCCAGGTCTTCCCTACTCACCCCTTTGCACCCTTTCTTTTCTCTCTCTTGAGAAAAGACATATAATGCAAAAACAAACAACCCCACAAGAAACACACTCTCTGTCTCTGTCTCTCTGTCTATCTGTCTCTCTTTCTCTCAGACACACACACAAATACACCACAAAACATTAAATCAACAAAAGACAAATAAAACCAATAAAAAAGTCCTAACAAAGCAATATGAAACAAAAAGTCCACAAAAATACCTTTGAATTTATTTGGTGTTGGCCATATACTGCTGTGCATGGAACTTACCTTTAAGTGTGATTAATATACCCAGTGAGAATCCATTGAAGAAAACTGATTTATAACAGTTTTTCTTGCAATTTTTATTTTTAATGCAGATCAATTCATTTATTAACCATTTTAGTAACAACTGAGTCTTATCTCTTAAATGCTTTTTTCCCTAGTACCTTTTGCAGTTTAATTTTTGGGCTAATTAGAAATACATAAAGAGCAAAACAGATACTGAGTTTAATAATGTTTGTTTTAATTCAACTCATTTTATTTTTCTTCATAATATATTTTCTTTTCCTATTGTTTTGTTCTAGAGATTGAAATCATAGTCAGTGCAAGCTAAGCAAACGATCTGGTACTAATCTATACCTTCATCTATCTACTATCTTTTCTCCATCATGACTAGGAGTTAAGAGAAGGGAAAGAATATGATCAAAATATATTGTATGAAAAATTTAAACAAGAATTCCCATTTTATAAGTATGTGTACTGAAGAAGTGGTTATATACTGTTTTTTTAAAAACTCAGTCTTTGTTCTCTTCACTAACATTTTAAATTGGATGTTGCTATTCTGGGTTAGAACAAATGAGTCAAAATAATTAGTTATATCTCTTCTTAGGTAAGCTATTGACTAGTTTCCTTTGTTATTCACAGAAGAGCAGTCTGTTCACCATAAATTCCTACCTCTGTCAGTGACCTTGTCTCCTACTTTGGGGAGGCCATTTCTTTCCTGGCATATGAGGTTTATGCCATTAATTGTCAACCCATATAAGACTCCCTCAGGAAGACTACGCCCCTTGAGTAAGAGGCTATTAAGGCCTTTAGTGAGCAAAATCTCTAAAGTCAGGGTTTCTCTCCTATGACTCACACAGCTCAGATGAAGTGATTCTGAAGCCCACTGGAAGTCAGCTGACAGTGGAATTCCTGGAAGAGAACAGTTTCAGTGTGCCTATCCTCGTCTTGAAGAAGGATGGGTTGGGGATGACACTACCCTCTCCATCATTCACTGTGAGGGATGTGGAACACTATGTTGGTAAGACACCACAGACCCTTTTAACTGTGACATTATCTATTCCCATCAAGACTTGAGTCACGCTTGGCCTGGTGGCATACACTACCTATAATCCCAGCACTCAGAAATCATAGGTAGTCAGATCTCTGTGAATTTGAGGTCAGCCCACAATAAGTTCCAGGATAGCCAAGGATACATAGAGAGACCCTGCCTCACACAAAACAGAAACAAAAAGACTTCTCTAAACCACCTTTTATATTTGCTTTCTAGCCATCTTGAGAATATGATGTGAAGTACCTTTCCAAAGTCATTCTTTGGCAAGGTAAATAGACAAAATACTAGTCTTCTTTCCTTCTTAATTTGTGTGTGTGTGTGTGTGTGTGTGTGTGTGTGTGTGTGTGTGTGTGTGTGTGTGTGTGTAGTTAATGACAGTATTTGCTTGTTTGATTCTCTTCTCTTAATAGACCACACAAAAACTAAGTTGGCCCTCCCCACTTTAACCTGGCAAATTTTAGGGTTCATATTTTCTCTGACACAGTTCTTACATACTATTTCTTACCAAAGCATGAGTTGTGGGGAGAGTGGAAGAGAAGAAATAAAGAAGCAGATCCATGGCAAATAAACTATATGAGAATCTCTGTCAGGTAGCTCCAGAGCCCTAACAGGCCTCCACCCCAATCTTGAGAGGGTGTGATAGATTCTACTCTCTGCCCTGAACACAAGCAGTATCTGAAGACCAGAATTCCTGAGCAAAAGGCCATTCATTCTAGATGCTGATAATGGGGCAAGAATTTTTTCTCTCTGAGATTGCTTGGTACAGAACTTGTTTCTTTACTTCAGGTTCTGACAAAGAGATTGATGTGATTGATGTGGCCCGTCAGGCTGACTGCAAGATGAAACTCGGAGATTTTGTGAAATATTATTACAGTGGAAAGAGAGAAAAAGTCCTCAATGTCATTAGTTTGGAATTCTCTGATACCAGGTAGGAGGGGAAAGGTAACAAAAAAGCCTGACCACATGTCTAAAACTTGTAGATATACTTGAATTTATATTTTGGTTTGTTTCCTTCTGATTGTTTCTTCCTTTGGAGTGGGGAGGTGGTGTATACTTTCTAGGGTATTGATTCAACTTTATAGTAGCAGCCAATTTCTTCTCTTTTTTCTTTCATTTTTTTTTCTTTTTTGAGACAGGATTTCTCAGTGTGACAGTCCTGGCTGTCCTGGAACTCACTCTGTAGACCAGACTGGCCTCTATCTCACAGAGATCTGCCTGCCTCTGCCTCCTGAGTGCTGGGATTAAAGGTGTGTGCTACCATCACCTGGCTCTTCTCCAGTTTCTAACATTAGGTGGATTGTGTAGTATCTATTTTACTTAATTTGTCTCCTTCATTCTAGGGCATCTTTCTTTGAACTTTTCCTAGTATTTATATTTTTACCTCATAACTGTACTAACTGAAGTAGAAGTCCTTAGTCTCTGGAAGTAGATTTTAAAATCTAAAATTAAAAATAAGTATTTTTTTCTAAAGGTAGGTTGCTTATGATTTTAAAGTGAGAGGTTATAATCTTTAAAATATTCTATTTATACTTGTATACTTAGAACTGTGGTGAATACAAAGGAATCATAACATTTTTGCTATTAGGATAACTATTGATTATTGATTATTGGCATTTTAAGCTGTGAAATAATAAAAAGTTAGATTTGCAAGAAGATGCAAAAGCAGTGTACAGCAAGGTCCTGTGAATTTTTCTGTTTCCCACATGGTAATAAGATTATAATGTTAAAACCCTTGCTGTTGCTTTTAAGATTAAAGACCCTAAAGGTATTTAAAAGCTATAGTTGCTTTATATATCACTTTATCTACAAAGTCTATGAGATAGCTTTGAGGCATGCAGAAAAGAGAAAAAAGAAAAGTGGAACAGAAAATAAAGGTGGGGGACTTGGATGCATATGGATAGGTAACATACATATGAATGTATAATTTGTTTAAATTGTTGGTAGTGATGGACTGCAGAGTTTTCTTTGAATTTCCTGAAAATTAGAACAAATAGGAGTGGAGAGTAAAATTTGTGGGTTTATATGATATAGAACAGCCTGATGTATGGGACTGATCTCCTGGAGGTTGCTGTAATATAAGGGCTTTTCATAAAGAAGATATCAAGTTAGGAACTGTCATAACTACATGCTAAATGGTAGACAGGAAGTGAAATAATAGGCATGACAATTTAGTAGGAGAAATGACCACTTCCTACTACGGAAGGACTTGGAGCTAGGATTTAGAACTTTTGAGAGCTTGGTGGGATAAGACTGCTAATAAGGGTTGGAGAGACGACTCAGCAGTTAAGAGTACTGGTTGCTCTTCCAGCCTTCACATGGCAGCTCATAATTGTCTATAATTCTAGGGGACCTGACACCCTCACACAGACATACATGCAGGTGAAACACCAATGTACATAAAATAAAAATAAATAAATAAAATATCTTCAAACTTGGAGGGACAAGTGTTGTATATACTTTTGAGTTCTGTGGAGAAAATGATTTTTTTTTTGGTTTTTACGAGACAGGGTTTCTCTGTTTTGGAGGCTGTCGGTCCAGCCTGGCCTCGAACTCACAGAGATCCGCCTGCCTCTGCCTCCCGAGTACTGGGATTAAAGGCGTGCGCCACCAACGCCCGGCGAAAATGATTTTTTTTAATTGTCTTATATGACCAGGGTATTTTATTCAGGCTTGAACTTTCAATTTTCAGTCAGCTTACATTTCTTTTTACCTTCTTTACTAGGCTTTCAAACCTTGTGGAAACGCCCAAGATTGTTCGAAAGTTGTCATGGGTGGAGAACTTGTGGCCAGAGGAAAGTGTCTTTGAGAGACCCAATGTACAGAAGTACTGCCTCATGAGTGTGCGGGATAGCTATACAGATTTTCACATTGACTTTGGTGGGACCTCAGTCTGGTACCATGTGCTTAAGGTAGGAATGAATATGATTTCTGGAGGTAGTCTACCTCTCATAGTCTATTTAGGTAACACTTTGACATAATTAACTCTGTTGAAGTTTCTTACTTAGGGTCTCTTAATTTTGATGCTTAAGCAGAAAGTTTTAGGTTGTGTCTATAATCCCCAACACTTGGAAGGTTGAGGCAGGAAGGTTGCCATGAGTTAGAGGTCAGCCTGAGCTACATGATAAGTTTCAGATCAGCTTGAACTAAAGAATGAGATACTGTCTCATAAAACCCAAACCAAAACAAAGAACAAAAAATAAATACATGGGGAGGGAGGCATGCATAAGAAGGCCCTAGGCAATCCTGGTGGTGGCACATACCTTTAATTCTACCACTCGGGAGGCAGAGGCAATGTGGAGCTCTGTGAGTTCAAGGACAGCCTGTTCTCCCATTACGATTTCCAGGACACCCAGGGCAGTTATACAGAGAAACCCTGTTTCAAAAAAACAAGCAAAAAGTCCCCAGGGTATACCCCAGCACTAAAACAACACTTTTTTGAGGCCTGGGGATATAACTCAGTGGTGTAGTGATTACTTAGCATGTTCAAATCCCTGATTTCTATGTATCTCTAACACTGCAGAAGTAGTTTTTAAAATTATAATAGATCCCTTAAGATATTCCCAACTGTTACCTTCTTAAATGAACCGATTTTTATTATTTCTAATATTCGACATTTCTAATATTTCTATTCTGTCAGTATATATGAAAATGTCTATATTTACTGTAGAAATTTTTGATAATATGAGTTTTCCCTCCCCCAAACTTTAATACATATACCACAGAATTATTTATATGTTTGTGTATTTTGACAGTTATATACTCACTTAATTGCCACCACAGATAAAACAGACATATTAGAATTCCTTTCAAATGAATAATTCCTATGATTTTTTAGTGGTTGTTATGATTTTGTAATTACTATGTGGTGACTATAAAGGATTTTTTTCAGTTGGGAAAACAATTTCTTAAATAATATTGATTGTTTTCACCACTGTTTATTCTATTTGTCTTATCAGAAGTAATAAGGAACAGAAAACTTGCTTTGTGTTTGTGCAAAATGATCATACATCTTCAATTAGTTGTTTTCTTTGGTTTATAATGGAGAATTGGAACATATAAATGAAAATGCTGTCATGCAAATGCATGCTTTACTGTTTCCATGGAGTTGGACGATGGTGGTGCACTCCTTTAATCCCAACACTCTGGAGGCTGAGGCAGTCAGATCTCTGTGAGTTCAAGGCCAGCCTGGTCTACAGAGTGAGTTCCAGGACAACCTCCAATGCAATACAGAGAAATCCTGTCTCAAAAAAAATATTTTCATGGAAAAAAAATGGAAGAATAATGAGATGACTTTCTGTATGTTCTTCATCCAGATTCACAATGCTTCCATTTTCTTTCTCCAAAGCAAATAAAATAAAGTGACCATGTCTATTTTTTCCCTGAGACATTTGGGAAGAGTTCCAGACATAGTGTCTTCTTATCTCTAATAGTTCATTATATAGCTCTTAAGAACAAAGGTATTCTCTTAAGTAATTCCAGAACAGTTGTCAAAATCAGGAAATTGATATAATACTATTATTAGCTAATCTATGAAGGCTGTCAGTTTTCTCTAGCTGTACAGTATGCATATTTAGTTTTCTAATGCATATCATAATTTTCTATGTTTAAATTTATAATATTTTAGCTAAGCTATCAGAGTTATCCTTATGCTATGGTATGGTTCTTTTTCACCAAATTATCTATCAGGTGATAATGAAGGAAAAACACAATTAGGAAATAAAATATTCTTCCAATCGATAATCATCTAATGAAAAATAAACTTCTAGAAGTCCTTGGGCAGTTACTGAACTTTTACAGTTAATTAACTTTGATTGCAGATGTGAGAAGGAACACTGTGTAACTGGCATTTAAAGGCAGATTTAATTTTCTTCTCATCAATAACATGGCCTTAAATTCTAGGCCTAGTAGTATGGCTTTTATCTATAGAGGTCATGTCTCACTTGGTATTACATTTAAAATCAAAGCATTTCTTATATATTTCTCCTAACTTAAACAGTTTTGATTTAAATACCTCCTTTAAGTTGTTTTTGTAAAATTTGAAGAAAATTTCAGCAGTTGATTTAAAAAATGATATAAAATTTGGGAAACGGCTCTGACACACTGCTCTGGTTGTGAAGCATGGGAGAGAGATTTGGTCTTTTGGAACAACCCTTTCCCTAGAAGGACTTTTCTTGAAAGTGGTGTGGCATCTTTTTTGTTTCAGGGTGAGAAGATCTTCTACCTGATCCGCCCAACCAGTGCTAATCTGACTCTCTTTGAGTGTTGGAGCAGCTCCTCTAATCAGAACGAGATGTTCTTTGGTGACCAGGTGGAAAAGTGCTACAAGTGTTCTGTGAAGCAAGGACAAACACTTTTCATTCCTACAGGTCATTCCTGAGTCCCTCTAGAGGGGAGGATGGGAGGATGGGAAAGGCAGAAAGAGGGGAGATAGTAGCACTGCACTAAATCCTGCCTGTAATTTATTAGTCTCATTATGTGACGTCTTTTTTTCTTATCAGTAGGTAATGTGGTTGTTTGTGGAGGCTGCAGATGGCAGAGCAGGCAGGAGGAGGATATATATCAACTGGGTATACAGATAGAGAACAGGAGTTAGTTCCATGATTCTAGGGATAATAACTGGGAAGCTGATGTTCTAGTCTATAATTTTGAATGACCCAGGATGGGAACATTCTTTCTTAATAGTTCTTGCCTGGGTTTTACTTCTAGAATTCTTAGGTCTCATGTAAAGTCTGAATTTGTGTATTTTGCTAGGCAAGTGTTCTTCCACTGCTATATCCTGAGCTGAGTATGTACATTTAAAAAAAGTAGCTTTGTTGTCTCAATCTGGGAAGAGTTAATATCTGGAATTTAATCGAGGTTCCTATGAATGAGGTGTCTCTATCCAACTTAAATATTCCTTATTTAATCAGAATTAACATCAAATTTTCTTGAAATACTCTTATTGAATGTGGCATAGTGAAACACCTGGAATCTCAGGTACTTGGGATACTGAGGCAGGGGAATTGTGTTTTCAAAACCAACCTGAGCAACTTAGTGAAACTCCATTTAAAACAAAACAAAGTAACAAAATAAGTATTTTAAAGATTCTCTTTTTGTTTTCTGAGACTAGGTCTCACTCTGTAGATCTGATTGACCTTGAACTCACAGAATTCTACTTGCCTCTGCCTCCCAACTGCAGAGATCAAAGGCATGAGCCATTTTGCTCAGCTCAAAACTAATACACAAGTAGACAAATAAAGGGAATTCTCTTGAAATCATGTGAACCTGAAAATTGGGGGGGGGGAATTTTAATTTAGCATTCAGTTTCCTTAATCTTTATAAGGTTCTTTGTATTATCTAGCCCATGTTGCTTTTACCAACAAGGCCATCTTGCCAGCCCATCTATTCCATATTAGATGAGTTATGGTCTTCTATTCTTTTCAAAGAATTATTTTATGTTCTTTCATTCTCATTTATTCATATTTTCTCTCTCCTTCCCTCCCTCCTTTTCTCTTTCGTTCCTGATACTAGTTATCTGTGTCTTCTCTTTTACTTTTGTCAGTTTTGCTAGAGGTTTATCAGTTATACTAATCTTTTACACTAAGTAATTTTTGTCTAATTTTTTCTCTCCTTTATATTTTCAATTTTGATTTCTGATTTTATTTTTATTTGTCCTTATGTTTGTTCTGAGTTCATTTTGTACTTTTTTCTTAGTTTTGTTCCTAGTCTTGAGAAGGATTTTAGATTATTGATTTCAGACTTTCCTTTCTTTTGTAAAGTGAGCATTTAGTGTTAAAAATTCCAGCACCAAGGCCAGCAGAGATGGTATAGTGGTTAAAAGCACTGGCTGCTCTTCCTAGTGTACCTAGGTTCAATTCCCAGCATCCACATGGTAGTTCACAACTGTCTGTAACTCCAGTTCCAGGGTACCTAACACCCTCAATGCAGACATACAGGTAAAACACCAGTCCACATAAGTTAAAAATTTTTAAAAAGTTTCCAGCATCAATTTAGCTCTTAGACGTTTATGTTATCCGTTTCTTTTTGTTAAGTGTGCCTTTGTAGAAAATGAGATGGAATTTACATATTGTAAAAATTACCAGTTTAATGGTTCCTAGTGTGTTATAAGGTTGTGTAACCAGGGATATTAACAGTTATTGTAACAGTGAATGTTTTGCCTCCCTTGTATATGAATTTGCCTCTTTTGAGTATTGCATATAAATTTGCTTGTGTTCCATATAAATGTGTTGTTGCCTTTTGTTTCTGTTTTTTTTCCACTCAGCATATTTTCAGAGTTCATCCATGTCACAGCATTTATTGTCACTTTAATAGTTTTTGAGATAGGATCTCATGAAGCCCAGGCTGGCCTTAAACTCAACTGTGTAGCTGAAGTTGACCCTGAACTATTGATCCTCCTGCCTCCACCTTCTGAGTGGTGCAATTACAGGTGTGCACCACCTTACTTTGTTTTCTCTTTCCACAGAGTCATGTGATCTTGGAATTTGCTGTGTAGCTCAGCCTTGCCTCAAGTTTGGAATATTTTTTCTGCTTCATGAGCATGTGACACCTTATTTACTTTGTTCCTTTTAATGACAAAATAGCCCCTCCCCACCCCACCCCTTGTAACAGGGTCTTTGTATTCATGTTTGCTGTGTAGCCAAGGATAACCTTGAACTTCTACTCCTGCTTCTATCTCCTGAGTACTGTAGTTACAGGCTTGCACCACCATGCCTACTTTTTGTGTTTATGTAGTAGAAGAAATCAAACATGGGGCTTTGATCATGCTAAGTAAGCCCTCTACCAGCTGAGCTACAACTCCAGCCCCTGCAAAAAATATTTCATAATGTGAATATGCCACAAACTTCCATTTTCTTTTTAATTTTTTTTTTGTATTTCAAGACAGGGTTTCTCTGTTTAACAGCTCTGGCTGTTCTGACTCCCTTCGTAGACCAGGTTGGCCTAGAACTCACAGAGATCTGCCTGTTTCTGCCTCCTGAGTGCTGGGATTAAAGGCATACATCACCATCACCCAGTTTAAAAATGTTTATTATCATATATTATCCATAATAGTGGAACTCAGTATGACATTTCTATGCATGTATATAATGTATTTCATATTCACTACTCCCTTCTGTCCCACCATTTAGTTCCCTTTCTACTTTCATATCTTGTTTGTTTGTTTGTTTTTAGAGACAGGATTTCTTTGTGTAGCCCTAGTTGTCCTGGAACTCGTTCTGTAGATTAGGCTGGCCTCAAACCCACAAGAGATTAGACTTCCTCCGTCTCCCGACTGCTGGGATTAAAGGTGTGCACCACCATTGCCCAGCTTACTTTTGTGTGTGTGAAACACAGTGAGTTTCCTTAGAGTTGTTAGCAGGAGCATATTAAGAACCATATCAGTGGCTATACTACTGAAGAAAATCTCTTGTCTTCCCTACCAACCATTAATTGCATATCAGTCTTTAGGGAAGGATGGCCCCATGAACCCTTCATCTGACTGGGTGTTGGAGAGTCAATCCTGTGATCGCAGATGCTGTGAGTTAGAGTGGGAGAAAAAAGTAAAATAGCCATGTCATGCCTTGACATACCACTCTACACTGCTTCCTCCAGCCCTATTTTGTTTTTTATTCACAAGCTCTGGGGATTGAATGCAAAGTCTTGTGAATGCTGTGTAAGTGTACTACCAGTGAGCTATTTCTTTTTTTTTTTCTTTTTTAGTTTTACAAGACAGGGTTTCCCCATGGCTTTGGAGACTGTCCTGGAACTCACTACGGAGACCAAGCTGGCCTCGAACTTGCGGAGATCTGCCTGCCTCTGCCTCCCGGGAGCTGGGATTAAAGGCCCCTATTTATTATTTATTTTATCTTGCTTATTTTATTATTTTTTTGAGACAGGGTCTCACTAAGTTGCCCAAGTTGGCACTGAGCTCATTATGTAGTCCAGTCAGACTTTAGCTTCTTGAGTAGCTGGACTTATACTTACATGCTAGACAACTTAGCTCAGAATTATTTTTGGCTATTATGAAAAATGCTACTGTGAGTATTCATGTACAAGTTATTGTGCCAGCATAATGATTTGAATATTCCTAATTAAAAATCTGGAATCCAGCTGGGTGGTGATGGCACACACTTTTAATCCCAGCACTCGGAAGTCAGAGGCAGGTTGATCTTTGTGGGTTTGAGGCCAGCCTAGTCTACAGAGCAAGTTCTAGGGCAGCTGGGGCTGTTACACAGAGAAATCCTGTCTTGAAACCCTTCTAATAATCTGAAACCTTTGCCTCCAAATCATGTTTTATTGATGTTTATTTTCTATGTGCAGTGTATGTACATAGTCTGTGTGTACACATGTGTGTGTTGGTATGTATGCACATGGAAGTCCAGAATTTGACACAAGATGTTTTCTGTAGTTGTTCTTCACCTTATTTTTTTTTAGTCTTAGTGTTTTTTATATTAGTAAATGTAAGTATGTGCCTCAAGTGCTTTCCTTGTTCCCCTGGAAGCCGAAGAGAGCAATTGAATCATTTGGAATTGTAGTTACAGACCATTGTGAACTACAATGTGGGTGTTGGAGATCGAAACCGGGTCCTCTGGAAGAGCAGCCAGTGCTCCTAATCCCCAAACCATCTATCTCTAGCCCATCACCTTATTTTTTGAGATACAGTTTCTCACTAAACTTGACTAGCTGTAACAAGCCTGAGGCATCCTCTTTTCTCCAAGCTCCCCAATGCTGGAGTTACAGACACATGCTGCCATGCTCAAAATTTACATGAGCTATGGCAAGTAGTTTACTGATTGAGACCTTTCAAGAGCAAAAGCAACCCTCAAATAGAGAATTTCACATCTGACTAATGTGATGGGATCATGCTCAAAGACATAAGTGCATTAAAGTATGTAAAATTTCCTTCAGGCGGTTTGTATAAAGTACATTTGAATCATAAATGAGTGTTTTGTTTAGACTTGGGTCCCATTCCCAGAATAACTCTTTTTCTCCTCAAGATATTTGTGTATTTGCAAATATTCCAAAATTTTAAAAATGTCTTAACTCTGAAATACTTCTGATCTGAAGTATTTTAGATAAGGAATATTCAAGTTGTATTTTCCGTTTTCTTGTTTATCTGTTCGGGAGAGGAATGCCCCTATCATGCAGTAACTCCATAGTTTGTCTTTTTGAGCAACTGCCAAGCTGCTATCAAAGTATATGTGTGCACTATTTTACATTCCAGACAGCAAAGTATAAGGCTCCAATTTCTTCATATTTTCTCCAATACTTGTCATTTCTGTCTTTATGATTATAGCAATCCTAGTGTGAGTAAAGTGGTGTAACACAGGTTCTAGTTTGTGTTTTCTCTAATGACTATTGACCATCTTAAAAACGTACTTTCTGTACT